TTGCTGCTGTCACTTAGAGTTATAGAATTTGTAGTAGAGCAATGATCTGTGATAGGTTAGAGAGGTCCTGGAGGTCCCTGAGACACTTTTAGGGAATCTGCAGAATCCTCCCTTTTCCAACTAAACATCTGTGGGAAGCCCCATTTTTTCCCACATATTTAAATCAAAGCAACATATGACAACAGGTTCAGCAAAAGTAGATGTAAGAATCCAGATGTCTTTTATTAAGCAAAAATTACAGTTTTGCAAACATTCAAAACAATGGAACTCTTCTAAGTAAGTGTTTTTGTTTTAGAAAATAGTTATTTGTTTAAATAAAACTATATTATTTATGTTAACGTAATGATTTTATTTTAATTAGTGAAATAGAGCTTTAAAAAATTCTCAGTTTGAATTTCTAATATTGTAAATATGAAGAAATATAATTCATACGAACAAAAAGCTTTTTGGAGTTCTCATTTATGTATAAGAGTGCAAATGATAGCACCTTACGCCTGTAAGAATAATTTTTTTTTTTTTTTTGAGACGGAGTCTCGCTCTGTCGCCCAGGTTGGAGTGCAGTGGAGTGACCTTGGCTCACTGCAACCTCCACCTCCCAGGTTCAAGCAATTCTCTGCCTCAGCCTCATGAGTAGCTGGAATTACAGGTGCCCGCCACCACACCTGGCTAATTTTTGTATTTTTAGTAGAGATGGGATTTTGGCATCTTGGCCAGGCTGGTCTTGAACTCCTGACCTTGAGATTCACCCGCCTTGGCCTCCCAAAGTGCTGGGATTACAGGCATGAGAAAAAAAATAAAAATAAAAATAAGAAAGAGAAAAGATAACAAATGCTGGCAAAGATATGAAGAAAAGAGAAACCTTGTACACCTTTGGTGGGAATGTAAATTAGCACAGCTATTATGAAAACTAGTATGGGGGCTCTTCAAAAAACTAAAAATAGAGCTACCATGTGATCTAGCAATTCTACTTCTGGATATATAACCAAAGAAAAGAAAATCAGTACATTGAAAAGATATCTGCTCTCCTATGTTCATAACAGCATTATTCACAATAACCAAGATATGGAATCAACCTATATTCATCAATGATGAATGCATAAAGAATCAGGATATTCCTCAATGGATGAATACATAAAGAAAACATGGTACATGTGCACGATGGAATACTATCGAGTCGTAAGAAATGCTATCATTTTCAACACTATGGAACCTGGAGGACATTATGTTGAGTGAAATAAGCTGGCACCGAAAGCAAATACTGCATGATTTCACCTATATGTGGAATGGAAAAAAACATAAAAAAATTGAACTCATGGAAGCACGGAGTAGAATTGTGGCTACCAGGTACTGGGATAGAAAGAAGACTGAAATGGGGGAGATGTTGGTTAAAGGGTACAAAATTTTCAGGCAGACAGAAGGAATATACTTTGGAGATCCATTGTACATCATGGTGGATATAATTAATGATAATGTATAGCATACCTAAAAATTGCTAAGAGAATAGATTTTGAATACTCTTATGATAAAATGATAAGTATGTGAAGTGACAGATATGTTAATTGGTTTAATTTAATCATTTCACAGTGTATACATACATCAGACAATTAAAAAATAAATGGTAATTCTGGGTAAAGAATACATCTGTTTATACTATTCCTACAAATTTTCTGTGTCTAAAATTATTTCAAAATAAAATGAAAGAAAAAATGATATTTTTGAATAATTAAAAAAGAGAGTGTAAGGATTCTTGAGATTAAAATAAAAATAAAAATGGAAGAAATAAAGGATATTTTTGCTGAATGATTTTTAAAAAGAGTTTAAAGGGTCCTGAGATTACAATTTAAAAAGTTTGAGCTCCTAACCTTATGTGATCTGCCCACCTCGGCCTCCTGTAGTCCCAGTTACTGGGGAGGCTGAGGCACGAGAATCACTTGAACCTGAGAGTTGGAGGTTGCAGTGAGCCAAGATCAAGCCACTGCACTCCAACCTGGGAGACAGAGCAAGATTGTGTCACCAAAAAAAAAAAAAAAAAAAAAAAAAAAAAAGCTTGAGACCCGCTCCTGCAAGTATTTAACTCACAGAAATGGAGATAGCACCAGGTAAAAATGAAGTAAAAGCTGTGTAAGCTGTGTGTTCGGCCTTGCAGAACAGGAAGCCTGAGAAAGGAGAGGTTATTTAGAATGCAGGTTATCTCGGGGAAAACGTATATTCCAGCGATCCTCTCTGCAATGGGACTTCATTCACCCTCCAAATACCTTTTTTGAAGTTTGTGTCTTAGCTTTCCTCTATTGTGACTTTTACTGCTCCTTCTGCTCTGAATACAGACACCATAAAATTTACTGTTCATCCAAGAACACTTTTGAGAGTAAAAAATGGAATTATTAATAATTACAGGACAATAGCCTTGCCTGGCTGCCATCTTTCTTATCCTGTCCAGTAAGTACCCCTAAAAGTAGAATTGTTGAATCAAAGGACATGAAAACTGTTGTAGATCCTGTCCACTCATGATTATATCAGGAATAGGAACACCAATAATCACATTAGCCATGAGGTGATTAGGTTTCAACAGTGAATTTCTGTATTTGATCTCCAACACATTTTGCTTTTTAAAGCTGAGTTCTGAAATTAGAAACAAGAGCAGATGGCAGTAGATTCACTTTAATTCAGAGAGTTATTAAGAAATTTTGAATTGTTTTACTATAAAATTTTAAGCGTGTTTTAATGTCGTCATAAACGGAAGGGTGGGTTGATGAGTTTACTCAGATTAGGGTGGTACAACCTTTGGGGCGGAGCCTCTGACTCTGGTTGGTTGGAGAATGTTTTCCAGGCCGTATAAAAATGCCGGTGTCTCCGCGCTGAAACTCAGAGAGGAGCAGAGGTCTGTAGAGGTAGAGGTGCCGGCTTCGGAACTTTCAGACTTCTGCTGGAAGTCTCCAAGTCAAGGTAAGTTACGCCTTCTGTTTAAGCTATTTCCAATGTCCTATTCTCTCTTTGGCTACAAACTGGTGTTTTCGAATACCTTTAACTATTTATTTTAGAGGAGAAAAAACTAGTTTTTTCCTGTGCCAGGGAACTTTCTTCACCTTTAACTATAACATTGCCGTTTAGATTTTTACATATGAACCTCAGGTCGCTCTTTGCATGAACTTGTTTTTTTTTTTTTTTTTTTTTTCTTGAGACGGAGTCTCGCTCTGTCGCCCAGGCTGGAGTAAAGTGGCGCGATCTCGGCTCACTGCAAGCTCCGCCTCCCGGGTTCACGCCATTCTCCTGCCTCAGCCTCCCGAGTAGCTGGGACTACAGGCGCCCACAACCGCGCCCGGCTAATTTTTTGTATTTTTTAGTAGAGACGGGGTTCCACCATGTTAGCCAGGATGATCTTGATCTCCTGACCTCGTGATCTGCCCGCCTCGGCCTCCCAAAGTGCTGGGATTACAGGCGTGAGCCACCGCACCCGGCCGTGAACTTGTATTTTTGTGTGTTTTCAACTACACTGGATTTGCTGTTTTAAAATAGTTTCTTTTTATTTTCAGAATATTTCTTAAAGAATTCTGGGTTTTTGGCGGGGCGCCGTGGCTCGTGCCTGCACTTTGGGAGGCTGAGGTGGGTGGATCACGAGGTCAGGAGACCAGCCTGGCCAACATGGTGAAACCCCATCTCTACTAAAAATACAAAACTCAGCCGGAGGCCGAGGAAGGAGAATTGCTTGAACACGGGAGGCAGAGCTTGCAGTGGGCCGAGATCGTGCCACTGCACCCCAGCCTGGGGGACAGAGCAAGACTCTGTCTCAACAAAAACAAAAACAACGACAAGAAAAGGACTTTGCTTCGGGTTTTCACTTACATACACTTGACCACTTTTAGTAGTTGTGTCATAATTAACTGAATAATTTTATTATTGTTAGATAATTCGATTGTTCCTGATCATTTGGGATGGCAGTTAACACTGCAATGAACAACTTGTTAATAAGTGTAGCATTTTTTTCTTTTTTTGTAAAATTGTTTTCTTAGATACATTCCAAGGTGGGTTAGACAATTAGATTTCCAGCACCATGTTAAATTTCCCATTAAATTGAAAAAGATAACAGAATTTAAGAAAGAGGTAATCTCTGTCTGCCAGCCAGGCACCATCAGATTGGAATGCTGATCAGGACTTGGAAGACAAAGTTTTATGTGGGCAGATACCCTGTCTATTACACACGTTTGTGTTTCCAGAGTCCAGTTGAGGCCAAGAGCACAGAAGGGTCTCAATAAGTATTTGTTGGAAAGAGATTAGAGATTATATTCTGGGATGTAGGACAGTTCTAGTAACTCAGGCTGGCCTCAGTGGTGTTCACTTCCTCTCTCTGGTAATGTTGATGCTGCTCCTCTTTCTGTCCCTCATTCTGTTACTACCGTCACCACTGAATGTGTGATTTGTGGGTTCTTGGTAAGAAGTTCTGCTAGTTACTGCTCAGTGTAAGCTCTTATTGGAGAATAGTCCTCTGTTCATATCGTCTCGAAGGTGCTGTCTAGCTTTGTGAGGCTGTCTTCGGGTCATGGGTCTAGCCAGGTCCAATATGCTGTGCCCAGCATGTCAGAGACAGCTCACTCAAAGAATGACAGTCATGGTGAGAAGTCCTCTGGGAGCACCAGAGGCTCTCAAGCTTTGGGAGCAGTTGGGGTAACAGGAGGGCATCTTCCTTGTCTGGAACATCTTTTTGGTTTGTATTGGCATGATTTTTTGGAGAAGTTTATGACAATTATATTTTTATTCACATTAATTCAAGCCTTAATTAGTTTTATTAGGGTGCTTTAAAGCATTTCATCTAATAACACTTTGTCCTTAAACTTGATTGGGCATCTCATTTTGCAGTGGATTTTGCTGGCTTTACTCACATGTAATTTTCCTGGAAATTCTGAGGGTTCCTTAGAGTCACTTTTCTGTGACGATTAATGTAGAATTGGCTTTATTTTCATGATTGAATTTAGACATGAAAATTCTTTTTCCTGAACTGCAGGTGATCTACAAAGAAATACTGAGTGGAGACTATACTGAGATTCTATTAAAGACCCACTTGAATTCAGCCCCCACTAGAAGAAACTTTGGCCAGAGCAACCAACACATCACCTGGAAGTCTTCAGACTAGGTAAGCTGCACTGTCTGAAAAGACAGTTTCCACTGCCCTATTCCTGTCTTGTGATTATCTAGAGTATGGAGAGTTTTGAAATCATTTTTATCACCATGACTACATTCTTGTGATTCTCTAGCAATTTAGTGTCACTTTCATACACAAGCTACAGAAATAATTAATTTTTGTTATTCTTAATTTCTTAGTTAATAAATTTATTGTTATTTATTACATAATATAATTCATTTATGCCAATAACTTATTTATTAATTTATGTTATTTAATCTTGGATTTAGAGTATTGAAGACCTCCCAAGTGCTTCCAGAAGCCAATAAAGGATCATTTCAGTCTACTTCACGGCTAAGGAGTAACCCTTAAGTACCATGGCCCAAAACCTGCAAGCAGAGTTGTCCTGTCCAGTTTGCCTGGATTTTTTCTCCTGTCCCATTTCTCTCTCTTGTGCACACATTTTCTGCTTTGATTGCATCCAGAATTGGATCCTAGAAAACCATGATTTTAGAGCGATGTGCCCCTTGTGTCGAGATGTGGTGAAGGCACCTCCTTTGGAAGAATGGCAAGTGAGAGCCATAGCACTTATCGCCAAGCAGCATGATAACCGACTGGTGCAAACTCTGCACGTGAGGGAGGAGCTCCAGCGTTTTCGGGAAGATGTGACCCTGGATGCAGCCACTGCCAGCTCCCTCCTTGTCTTCTCCAGTGATCTAAGAAGCGCTCAGCGTGGGAAGATCCACCACGACCTGACAAAAGATCCTAGGCTGACCTGTGTCCTGGGTACTCCCTGCTTCTCCTCCGGCCGACATTACTGGGAGGTTACAGTGGGAGAGGTGAAGTCATGGTCCCTGGGCGTCTGCAAGGAGTCGGCTGACAGAAACAGCAGTGATTTATCCCCTGAGCATGGCTTCTGGATCATTAGCATGGAGGCAGGAGCAATCCATGCTAACACCGACCTGGAGAGAATTCCTGCAAGCCCTAGCCTTCGTCATGTGGGAATTTTCCTGGATGTTGACTTTGAAGAAATCCAGTTTTTCGATGTTGACAATAATGCCCACATCTATACCCATGATTCTTTCTTCTCTTTGGAGCCTTTGCGTCCATTCTTCTGTCTTGAGCTCTTGGGAGAAGGGGAGAGTGGCAACGTCCTGACCATCTGCCCATGAGAAAATCAGCCCTTCTTAGAAGCTTTCTAAGAGGTGAAAGAGAATTTTCGCCTGAGAAAGGTCAGCATGACTGAGGAAGGAATAATGTGCTACAGTGCAAAGACTTGGTAAATTTTTAAAGTAGATTTTGTAGACTTTGTAGCAAAACAATTTTTGGATTTTTGGGGTAAATTTTGTAGAATTTGTAGCTAGGTAACTGGGGTCTTTGGGGATGTTATTAAGTACTCTAAGCCTCAGTTTTCTGGTCTCTAGATGGGGATAGTTGTATGTCAGTCAAACACCTGTGGTAATTAGACAATACTATGACTTCGTCTTATAGTAAATGACAAGTAGAGAAATATTAGATTGTAAGTAAAGTAGATATTAGGTTTTGTGGATAGACAATATCTTTTTCATTATTTCAAGCTATTTTGGGTAATTGCTGATAATGTCTGAGGAGGAAGAAAAATTAAAAAAAAAATTAAAAATTAAACAGCCAGTGCGAGTTATTTTTTCCCTTCCCTTTCCAACTTCACTGGGAGTAGGAGATAGCCATTTTCCGCTTCTTATTCTCGTTTGATCTCTACAACTTTATTTCAGGGGACTCATTGCCCTTCCCTAACACTGGACAAAGTTTCAGGATACAAAATAAATGTACAAAAATCACTTGCATTCTTGTATACTAACAAGAGTCAAGCTGACAGCCAAATCAGGAATGAACTCCCATTCACAATTGCCACAAAAAGAATAAAATACCTAGGAATACAGCTAATTAAGGGAGGTGAAAGATCTCTATGAGAACTACAAACCACTGTTTAAAGAAATCAGAGATGACACAAACAAATGGAAAAACATTCCATGCTCATGAAAAGGAAGAATCAATATTGTTAAAATGGCCGTACTGTCCAAAGCAATTCACAGATTCAATGCTATTCCCATTAAACTACCACTGAGACTCCTCACAGAACTAGACAAAACTATTTTGAAATTTATATGGAACCAAAAAAGAACCTGAATAGCCGAGGCTATTTTTTAGCCAAGGCTAAGCAAAAAGAACAAAGCTGGAGACATCACAACACCCCACTTCAAACTACACTACAAGGCTACAGTAGTATAGTTTGTGTCACTACCAAAACAGCATGGTACTGGTACAAAAACAGACATATAGACCAATGAAACAGATTAGAGAACCCAGAAACAAGACCACATACCCACAACTATTCGATCTTTGACAAACCTGACAAAAACAAGCAATGGAGAAAGGATTCCTTTTTCAATAAACTGTACTGGGATAACTGGCTAGCCATATGCAGATGATTGAAACCAGACCCGTTCCTTACATCACATACAAAAATCAACACAATATAGATGAAAGATTTAAATGTAAAACCCCAAACTATAAAAACCTTGGAAGACAATCTAGGCAATACCATTCAGGACATAGGCATGGACAAAGAGTTCATGATAAAGATGATGAGAAGCAATTGCAACAAAAGCAAAAATGGACAAATGGGATCAAATTAAACTAGAGAGCTTCTGCATAGCAAAAGAAACTATCAACAGAGTGAACAGGCAACCTAAAGAATGAGAGCAAAGTTTTGCAAGCTATGCATCTGACAAAGGTCTAATATACAGTATCTATAAGGAACTTAAGTGTACAAGAAAAAACCAAACAACCATTAGAAAGTGGCAAAGGACACTAACAGAAGTTTTTCTATAGAAGACATACATGTGGCCAACAAGCAGATGAAAATAAGCTCAACATCAATGATTATTAGAGAAATGCAAATCAAAACCACAATGACATACCATCTCACACCAGTCAGAATGGCTATTATTAAAATATCAAAAAGTAACGGATGCTGGTGAGGTTGTGGAGAAAAAGGAATGCTTATATACTGTTGGTGGGGGTGTAAATTAGTTCAACCATTGTGGAAGCCAAAGTGGTGATTCCCCAAAGACATAACGACAGAAATACAGTACACTTAAAAAAAAAAAAAAAAAAAAGGAAACTGACTGGAGACAAAGGCTCTGCTCTTTTCGTAGGAAGCAAAATGACGAGATGTTGCTTTAAGGGCACAAATGATCTTAAACTTCAACTTTCAGATTTGCATCCAGGTGAAAATGTGAAAAATTCACATTAACAGGTATCAAGTATTTGTCACTTTCTGAGACATGTTACTTAAGCAACATCCCAGTTCTATGGCCTCCTCACTTGGTTCTGAAGTAGCATTGCCTGAAGATTGTTTCTATTTTCTTTATAAGTTTCCTCAGTAATGAGGGAGTAATTTCTGGGATTAGTGACCAGATCCACTCTTTACTGAACCTGTGGTCTCTCAGTGTGGGCAGATTATCTAGCTGTAAATGTTCTCCCTCAACAAGTGAAGACATTCCTTTTTAAGAAATTGCATTAGGGAGCAATTGCTTAGGTTTGTGGACAACCTTCCAAATCAATAGCAAGGTGAAATGAATCTGTATTTCTTCCTAGGAGAATGATTTAAGTATCAAAGACTAAGAGAGGGCTTTGGAAAAATGGAAACATTCATGCCAAAAGCATCCTGTTTATGGTTTTGCCACTAAAGTTAACCACAAATTAGGATTGGAGGTTTTATCCAATTATGTTAGAAAAATTACTTGATTCAGTCTTTGTTCAGTTGAAGGAGTTGTGCTCAGTTGCAATGATCAGCTAACCTTTGTTGTAGCTAAAGTTAAACTAATTTTAATTAGTTTTTAATTGTTTAAGATGACATTTCAAATAAAATTTTTATTATTTTCCTATAAAAATGTTCTCCCTCTTTAAACTTTATTTTTCATAAATACTTATAATCATTCATGTGCTATATGCATATTTTGTGATTTTTTTGTGCTTCAGCCTTTTTTTTTTTAGAAACTGGTATTTATTTTCCATTAACCTTATTTCTATATTGCTTAAGAGCCCATGCAAGGGCAACTTAAGACCATTCAGTGGTTGTTTTTACCCATTCAATGGCCTGAGACTGGAAGCTCAGACCAGTCTTCCATGGCAGGCTGAGCACTCCAGTTTTCAGTAGGGAACTGCTGAATAGTCACAGAGGGTACCTGCACGCCTTCAGACCAGTCTGCAACCTCGGGCTGCGTAGCAGCGAACTCAGCAGCTGAAGCAGTCCATTCACCCTGAAATTCCTCCTTGGTCAGAGCCTCTTCAGCAGCAGCCAGCTCTTTTTTAATCTCTTCAGGATCTCTGTAGAAGTAGAGATCAGGCATGACCTCCCACGGGTGTTCACGGGAAATGGTGCCACGCATGCACAGAACTTCCTGAGCCGGCATCCACCGCATCAAATCCACTGAGTGAGCTCCCTTGTTGTTGCATGGGATGGCAATGTCCACATAGCGCAGAGGAGAATCTGTGTTACAGAGCAGTGGTAGGTAAGTTAACGTGAGATGCCTCTGTGAGAGGCTGGTGGTCAGCCCTGGGGTCAGTAACCACAAGAAGCCATGGCTTCCAGAAAGCTGCCTGGATCTGGTTAGTGAAGGTTCCAGGAATGAAGCGGCCAACAATTGGAGTGACTCCAGTAGCAGCAGCAAACTTCAGCACGGCCCTCTGGCCGGTATTCCTGGAGGATATAACACTGACATCTGCAGCGTTTTCAATGGCAACAGTGGCGTGAGCTGTCAGCAGAAGCTTCTCCCAGGTCCTCTTCAGATTTATGTTGTAGATGCCATCACTTTTACTTTTACAGATGTACTGTTCCATCTGGAAGTCAAGATTGGTGCCACCTAAGTGGGTTCCTGCTGCAAGGACATCCTCCTCCTTCGTTTGCAGGACATCAAGGGCTCCGGACATTGTGAAAGTTTCCCTTTAAGTTACGAGGGGGATCCAGAACAACGCCGTATGGGCCCCTCTGTGTACCCACAGAAAGGCTTCAGACTTTTTTAACCAGCTAATAAATGCATGGGGTCCAATATTTAAAATGCCACATAATGAAACTATTTCCTGACACTCCCCATTTATTCATTCTTCCCGAAAATGACTCCTGTTACCAATTGCTTGAGGATTCTTCCAAAGGTATTCTATATGTGTATATATATGCATGTATTTCACCTATATATACATTTAGTACTGCATATACATTATTTTGCACATTGTTTTCGCTTGAGGAGATTGACTTCAAACAGTCTTTTTTCAGGACTCAGATAATACTTTTTGTGTTATATTTATCAACTTAGTCAATTCTGTGCAAACAATTCTCAATCAGATTCATAAGCATACATTTTCCCTTAAGTTTTTCCAGGAAGTCATTAACCTCTCACTCCAAAATGCATGACATCATAGCTGTCATCAAAGGACTTCTAGAAGATCTAATTACTACAAAATAACAGTAAAATCAGATTGACCTCAAACCCTCGATCTTTCAAAAAAGAAATAATTTTGTTTTTCAAGCATTGTTATCGGGTATAGTAAAAATGATTTTTTGTTTGTTTATTTTGAGACAGAGTCTTTCTCACTCTGTCGCCCAGGCTGGAGTGCAGTGATGTGATCTCAGCTCACTGCAACCTCCACCTCCCAGGTTCAAGCAATTCTCTTGCCTCAGCCTCCCAATCAGATGGGATTACAGGTGCGCACCACCACACCCAGTTAATTTTTGTATTTTTGTAGAGACAGGGGTTTGCCATGTTGGCCAGGCTGGTCTCAAACTCCTGACCTCAAGTGATCTGCCCGCCTGGGCCTCCCAAAGTGCTGGGATTACTGGCGTGAGCCACCGTGCCCAGTCTGCAGGTTATACCTCCTTAATGTTACAAATTGATGAAGATTAAGTAAATAAACCTCAGCAATGACTACTACATATATTTAAACAGATCTGCTTTTGCGTCTCATAATCACTGAGCAACCATTTGAGCTTTATTCTTCTTTTCTTCCTTTTTTGATAATGCTGGCAGAAATGATAAACTAATAGCATCTGACCTTCACAAACTAGGCAGAGTTTCAAAAACAAGGTGACTCATTACATTTGTCCGGATAATTTTTTGAATCCCCATATTTTCTCACGTTGGCACAATTTTGCTTCAAATGCATCATGGGATAGATGAGACAACAGGAAGCGATAGGCTTTCCCTATTCAGTGAGTCAGGCAGTAACCAAGCGATTAATGTGGATGAATTCAGGGCTCATGAAGGCATCATTTCTCATCAAATGGAACTGTACCCTGCTAGAGGGAAGTCTGAATAGGTGTGATCTAATCCAGAGGTTCCAAGTGATGTGACCCACAATGCTGTCACCACTACCTCCCTCTTTGCCCTCGCTAACGACCTAAGGTGTGTCCACTGTGGAAAAATCTTTCTGTTACTGGAAACGGATCTCCATCCAGACTCTAAGAGAGGGTTCTTGGACCTCGTGCAAGAAAGAATTTGAGGCAAGTCCATAGAGTAAAGTGAAAGCAAGTTTATTAAGAAAGTAAAGGAATAAAGAATGGGGGCCGGGCACGGTGGCTCACGCC